TGATAGCGTCAGCTCAATTAGCTGAATTAAAAGCTGTGACTGAGGCGTGTAGTTTATCAACAGGAAAAACTGTTAACATTTACACAGATTCAGACTATGTGCACTGCAGTGTTCATGTTGATTTGAGCCAGTGGAAGAGGAAGGGCTTTGTGACTGCTGCKGGAAAACTATTGACTCATCTTCATCAAATATTGGAGTTATTCTATGCATTTGGACAACCACGAGCTGTGTCAATCTTAAAATGTAAGGCTCACCAGAAAAAGTGTGATGTGGTGGTGAAAGGGAATTTTCAGGCTGACAGAGCAGCAAAGGAGTGTGCTGGTTATGAGAAAGACAGACAGATGGTCCAGGTGGAAGAAGGAGGTCCTGCTGTGAGTTCTGAGGAAAACATTTTTCAGAAAAAAAATTGATGTTCAAACTATGTTAGAGATGCAAACTAATGCTGCCGTTTCAGAGAAACAACTGTGGCAAGACAGAGGRGCCAGACAGGATGCTGAGGGCATCTACAGAAACCATGAGGGTAAGGTTGTGGTTCCAGAAGTTCTGGTGAACCTGCTGTGTCAGGAGGCTCACAGTAGGGGGCATGGTTCCAGTGGTAAAACGATTGATATGATCATTCAGGTATGGTGGCATCCTAATATCAGAGCAATTTCAAAGTATTTTGTTCAGATGTGTGAAATCTGTTCCAGACACAACCCGAAGGGGGTGCTGAAGGTTCGTCTCGGTGCATTCCCGGTTCCTGCAGCTCCATGGAAAGAAGTGTGTATTGATTTAACGGACATGGGCGCTGCCAACAGGGTTCAGGGTAAGAGATTYATGCTCGTTTGTGTTGACGTGTTCAGTGGATGGATTGAAGCGGTGCCGACATGCACGGAGAAAGCGTCTGAGGTGGTAAAGTGYTTGTCCTGTGAGGTCATTCCGAGGTTTGGCATACCTGCTGTCATAAGATCTGATAATGCCAGGCCTTTTTCAAATAAGGAACTGCAAAAAGTGGAGCAGATGTTAGGGATCAAGCATCAGTTTGGGGCTGTTTTCCATCCGATGTCCCAGAGCAAAGTAGAGAGAGCGAACAGGACACTGAAGGAAAGTTTAGCTAAGGTGTGTGCAGACACAAAGTTAAACTGGGTGGAAGCTTTGCCTCTTGTTTTATTTAATATCAGGTCCAGTCCAGGGGGAGAACTGAATGTGAGTCCACATGAGCTGTTAACGGGGAGGAAAATGCCATGTCAGCTGACAACTATGCCTTCAGAATGTAATAATGTACAAATGCAGCATGATGTGATGTCAGAATACATGATGAGGTTGAGAAATACTGTCATGAGTCTGTCCCAACAGGTGGTGGGTGCATTAACACAAGACGACAGAGGTCACTGCGAGTTCGTCAACCCAGGGGATTGGGTGCAGAGGAAAGTGGCACATTTTGACTGGCGTCAACCAAGGTGACATGGACCATTTCAAGTTGCGGAGACAACATCTCACTGTGTGAAGGTGTGGTTGTCTGAGACAAAGTTGAGTAATTGGATTCATAAGACACACTGCTACAAGTCTAATGCTTTTACAGAGAAAACTAGGAAACACATTGAAAACCAGCTGGGTGAACTGAATGCTCCTTTTGAAGAG